ATCGCTTGTCAATGATCTGAGAAGAGAAATTGGACTCGAACTCGATTACGATGATGTACATGGAGGACTTAAACGTGTTGTGCCAGTTGCTCAATCCGTGAACGATGTGTCATCTGGCAAACCTAAGAAGCAAAGAAGCAATGCAACAACATCAGTCTCGACCACAACTAGAAAGGTATGAACGGCTTCATGTCTAGAACACTTTGCTAAGTGACAGTTGACATCGTAATCTTATCTTTTTTTGGAGTGCCCATTGACTGAAAAGAGTTCATACTTAACTCCGATGTGAACAGTACTGCTTTCAAACAATTTCCGTATGATGCACATTCATATGACAGTTTTAAGATGGAGTTGTCACGTACATTATTAAATGTTTTTGAGCATAGATATTCTTAGAATGCCGGTACATCGGCCCTGATGTTTGCAAAATCCCGTCCATTTTCCAATCATACGATCCTTTTTAAAATCCCGGATAATCTCGGGATTGGGGTCGAGTTTAAGGAGTGGGGATCCTGTGGTCTTGGACGAACATATTTTGCACTGAACAATGATGATTTTAGTACGATTCTTTGAAACTGGATGGAGGAGAGGATGAAAGCGATTACGACTACTATGATACGGAAGACGAGATTCAGGCCATTATTAACAGGCTTCGGCGTGAGCGAATGAAGTTCGCAACCGAAGAGGCTTCAGGTGAAGCGGTAAGGCTTCGGTTTAAAATGAAGAAGCTCACTTTTTGAAAGTTTATTCAATCACTGATTAAATAGTTCCGTTTCAGCCACAGCTGGCAGGTGTTCGACGCGACCTCTCAAGACTACTTTTGCGTTTAAGACGTTCGTTGGCATGAAACGGTTGGAAGGGTTGACTTCAGGTAATTGGGACGAGTGATGCAGCAATGTAGAATGAATCTAGAGAAACATATTTACTCTACGCATTACCTCTTATCCACCAGCTCTAATATTGAACAATCAACGACAGTGTATGGCAGAAAAGAACGTATCACTGAAGACTTTGTAAAATTATGGAAAGAAAAGCCAAGTTGTTCTTCGAAATTGGACTGAGCCAAATCAGCGCTTACGTTAAACATGCTGTTGTAGTTTTCGTTG